CGTTTAACAATTAAACACGTTGGTGTATATAATAATAAAACTAAAATATTCAACTGGTTGATAATCGAAATAGGCGACTTTGGAAGAAATCGTACCTATCTTCGTTTTCTTTCTTCATTTTTTTTCATTTGTCACACAAGTAAATATGGTTTGATTAAAGAGACATGAATGGCAGAAGTAGCCAAATATTATTACAGAAATCAGATGATAACAATATAAGAAAATAAAGAAACAAGTCTTTTGAGAAATGATGAAAGTAGATAGAAACTTCACCAAATCAAGATATATATGAAACCGGTTTAGTATGTTTCTCTATAACCTTGGCACTGGACGTGGAGTGTCCCATTCAGTGATAATGTGGTTACGTGTGATTTCTTTGAGAGATCTACAACCACTTAGTGCCATGGTTAGCTCAAACTCGTCGCGTAACATTTGAAGAACTTTTCTCACTCCAGCTTCTCCTTCAGCAGCCAATGAGAACACCACTGGTCTTCCAATCTAGAGATTTTGTGAAACATTATAAATTGATGATCTCAAAATGTAGAAAAGAGATTGATGTATATGTGTATGATATACTCACAAATATGCCTGAAGCTCCAAGTGCAAGTGCTTTGAAAACATCAGTTCCACGTCGAACACCACCATCCAAAAACACAGGAACTCTTCCTTGAGTTGCTTTAACAACCTAAATTCTCAAATGAAACATTAGTGAGATTGTTGTTCGAACGAAGCAAAAATCGATTTTTTTTTAATTGAGGATGATTGAAACCTCTTCTAGAGCTGAGATTGTTGCTGGGACATAGTCGAGTTGACGAGCTCCATGGTTAGATACAATGATTCCAGCTGCACCAGCCTGAATAGCTATTCTTGCTACACAAGGAAACCAAATCGAAATGTTTTAGGTATTCTGATTTTAACCTAATAAATAAAGCATACTGCAATTGAGAGATTCTTGTCTGATTAGTGTAACTCACCATCTTCTCCTGTAAGAACACCTTTGACAAGAATTGGTAAATTGGTGATCGTTTGAAGCCATTGAATATCCTGTTTGTTTGCAATGCAAGTTAGGTCAATCTGAATAATGTCTCTTACTTCATTTACCCTGTTTGAGTGTTTCTTAAAATATATTGTGTTTGTCTTACCTTCCAGCTCAAGGTACGATCAATTTGACCAGCAACATATGAAGCCAATCCAGAGTCATTAGCCTACAAATTTAAAACATAACATAATCAAGAAGATTTGTCTGTGAACAAATAGTATTGAATCATATCATGTGATTGTGGATGCTTTACCTCATCCATCTTTCCGAGATCAAGTCCTTCGAAGTTCTTCAATGTCAGATTAGAAGGCAAAGTGAATCTGTTAAGTACAAGAAAACAAGGAGGCGTGACTTCAATACTTTCGAGCAAACTACGAAATATCGAGGAAAAAAAATCCAATCAAACTCTCATACCTGTTCTTGATATCAGACTCTCTACGTCCTAGTCTTGGTGTATCGACAGTGAGAGCAATAGCTTTAAATCCAGCTCTCTCGGCTCTTCTCACAAGTTGTTCAACCACTTTCCTATTCTTGTACACCTACTCAATAAGAACAATCATCGCGATGAACAATCAGATCTGGTTGGTTTATTAGAACCTATAAGAGATAATAGAGGCTTACATAAAGCTGGAAGAATCTAATCCCTGGTCCTGTGGAAGCAACCTCTTCAACACTTGAAGTAGCCCATGAAGATAGTGTCTGAAACATCATTAAAAAAAAAAAAAACTCAAAACCAGAGCTAGCTTTAGAGAATTCGGTCTCGATGAATTTTTTTCAAACAAATTGCAAACATACCATGATGGTTCCAGCAGCAGATGCAGCTCTAGCCGTAGCATATTCCCCTTAATAAGTTTACATAACATAATGAACAAATTTACTATCTTTGTATAATTAAGAAGTTATGAGTCTTAAAAAAAACTCGGTTCTCGACTAAATAACTCGGTTTTCGACAAATAAAATCTGTTTTCGACTAAGTGTTCTTGTTCAGTCAAAGTTTTAGGACAAGAGAAAGAAAGTATTTTACCTTCAGGGTGAGCCATTTTTTGAAAAGCGGTTGGAGCAACCATGATTGGCATGGAGATTTTGAAACCTAATACAGTTGTTGCCATGTCAATCTTACTCACATCAATCAGAATCCGAGGTCGAAACCTGTTAAACACATCCATGAGAACAGAGGAAAGAAAAAAGAAAAAAAGGAGTATGCAACAAAAATTATCGATAAAGAAAACACTCACAAGATTCTTGCAAAAGCGTTTCTGTTTTCTTGAAGAGTCCATTGATCTTCTGCACCAGAAGCATAGTAATCATAAGCCATCTTAGGTAACTTTTGCTTTGCAATTGCTTCATACTCACTAACGTTTGTGATCTCCATCGAATCTTGGTCTGTCAAAATAACAAAACTTTGGTCTATGAAGATTCTGATGGGTCATGAAACAAGAGAAGAAGTATAGAATTTTACTTACCTTTGATGGTTTTTGCTTATGCAAAGAAAAGTGAGTATAGTGGGAAGTTTATAATATATGTAAAAGGTTTATGTCAGTTTAAAGATAAAATATTCACAACTGGTGAAATTTGATTAGTGATGTTTGTTATTTGAGAGAGAAATATGGATGAGAAGTTACAGGTGAAGAATGGAGAAGTAGAAACAGACAAAAGAGCAGATGGGTTATGTCTGATCCACAAAACAACTTGTGTGTTCCTCAGAATTTTTTATTTTTCTAAAAATTATTTATCATGGTTCTCAAATTCCAAGGATATCAATTATACTATTCATGAACCAAAATAACTTTATGTTTGTTTCTTTCTTTCTTTTGTAAGGATATAAGTGAAATAATAAATTAAAGAGAAAATGACGCCAAAACATTGTCATTGGTTGAAGTAATTTAGTTATTTTATTGGGCTTAGGAGATAAGATCATAAAGAGCATGAAACTAAAAGTTTCTAAAAAAAATAAAATTAATGTTTTAATTATTTTTAAAAAAATTTCACTAGATTATTGATAAGTGTATGAACTTTCATTAATTGGTCTTACACTACCGAAACTTTCACTCTCTTCCCTTCTGTCTCATCCTTTTATTAATATTTTAATGATGGGTATTATATTTTAATGTTAATGAGATCTACAACATTTCATTGTTAATGATGCTCTAAAGCCCATAATCCAATTTCGACCCGAAAACCTGACCCGTCTTGGTCAACGAAAACGGGTTACGTAGAAAGAAAGTTATTCAAATTGGACTATTATC